AAGCGTTTCTCGAATGGACTCTTGGCTCTCTCCAAAGGGCGGGTGAAAAATCTGGGTGCGGCTGTGGTCTCCAGTTCTGACGGTGGGCTCCAGTCGCTCCCACAAAAGCAGCCCCACTCCCCTCTGTCGCCTGTGCTCCGAAAACTCTCGGTACGCCCTCTGGGTCCCACGAGATCAAACAAGAATATCGTGTTGCTAAGCTTAACCGACGAATTAATTAATTTGGGTTTGGTTTAATTAATTATTGATCGAACGTGGTATTTGGTTGTCTTCCTTCTATTGTGGGGCAGAGGACGCTGACAGCCAACATCGTCATGATAAAAAAAGATAATAATGTAAATTAATGTTGTTAATGAGGGAGATCATTATTCCATGATTACATGACTTTTTTGATTTTGCCTTTTTTTTAGTGCACTAATAAATCAGGGGTTAACCGGAGATAGATGGTATTTCTTAACTGCGGATAGATCTTCTATAGTTTCATTTGTGCGAATAGGCTCCTGGACTGAATTTAAGAAATTTTTTTAGACGATTAAACATGCTCCAGTTATATTGATAGACCCCAAATTGCAAAAATTTTTGACTCCTAAAAGAGTCAAAGCATAAGAGTAAAAAATTCATTGGGGGAATGTATCCGTACTTGAGCAAATAGTTCAGGAGGCCTATCCGCAATTAGTCCATACTAAGAGGGGTCTATCGGTAATTGATCTATAAATCAAGGACAACTTTTCGTTTTAGACCATATTAGGGATTTATTTCCAAAAATTAACCCATTTCAGATTTATTTGCAAATTTTGACTAGTCGAAATTTGCCAATAAAGTTAAAAAACTTCACGGGATTTAAAATCTCGTGAAGTTATGTTATTAATTAGTTAGCGCTAACCAAAAAACTTGGCTCAGGCGGTAAACTGCTACTAAACTTCACGGGATTTTAAATCCATTGAGGTTTATATTAAACAAATTTCATAAGATAAGTAGTTATGTGCAATGAGTTTAATAGTTATAATATTAGCTTACAAGACTTGGATGAAAAACACATGGTTTGAATTCTAGTCTTGCAAAATTTTTTAAATGTTCAAGCAAAAAAATATGTTGGGATGAGATTCGAACTCAAGAGACTTGAATAATTGAAGTTTAGCGTTCTTTGAGCTAACTACCTGGCCAACTATGGCGACCAAGTTTTATTAAGCTCCCTGGGATTTAAACTCCTGTGGAATTAGGCTAATTCTAAACTTCACGAGATTTAGAATCTCGTGAAGTTTAATTAAGAACTAAACTTCGATTCTAACTCCCGTGATGTTTTTCAACTTTATTCGCAAATTTCGATCTGGGTCGAAATTTGCAAATAAATCTGAAAGAAGTTGATTTTTAAAAATAAATTCCTAAAAAGGTCTAAAACGAAAAATTACCCATAAATCAAATAGGAAGAGAGGCTTGGCAGCTAACACTAATTTGATACCAAAACGCTTGATAATGCTAGGTACTTTTATCTCGAATTACAATTTGATCTTTTTATATTTCTAAGTTTTTTAAAAGTTATTTCTGTCTTGCAATCATTAACACGCATGCGTACAATTTGTGCTGCTCACTTATTAACCTTTACCATGGCTTTTCGTACATTTCAGAAGTATTTGTGTATGCTATAAGGAAAATTAGACACCTAAAACCGAAGGCTTTATCATTTAATGTACATAATAATTGGTGATTACAAACTAACTACTATGATAACTTTAAATCTACTTGATTACCAGTGAAATACAATGATCTGATATTTTTATACGCAATTTATGTCGGTATAAATTTTCAATCTATCAAGTCTGTATTTAAGTTTTCGGGTGAGATTATTTTATCTTAAATGTCTACCAAGTAGACCAATTCAACCCTATTTACATTATGACAATGCTTTATTTCAGTTTAATTCAACTCTATTTGATCATGTTGACATTACTATTTTTTTTCACAATTGTAGGTTTAACTTGTATGTTTTTTTATTGACAACCCAAACCCAATCCGGAATCGATTTCAATATAATGGGAGTTATATTGAAACCTCCAAACTTGCATTTTATTATAAAAAAATAATAGAGATGGACAGCCAAATATTTTTTTCATTAGCGAGAAAACTAGTAGTGGAAATTATGGTGCAAATCTCTTCACTTATGAGTTTTGGAAATTAAGAAGGATTAAAATAATTGTACTGGAATGTAATTTTTTTTTCGTAGTTAAAACTGCATCATGAGACCTAGCATCATGAGACCTAGCAAAGTTGAGAGCGAATTCGTTAGATCAAGCAATTATTTTGTATTCAAGAGAAACCTGTCTCTATTGCATATATGTTGGTAATGTATTAACAAATAATATAGATGATGTTCTTCTGATCACATAGTTTGATTAAAATGGGGAAAAAAAAACCATAATCTGAAAATAAAGAAGTTTCCTAGAAGATCACATCCCATTAGCACTCACGGATGAACTCTCATAGATTAGCTTCCATAAAATTTCTCAATCACAGTTATTTAAATTACACAGCCTAACAAATGAATAAATAAAAGAGTTAATTACATTTTAGTACCCAGTGATATTGTGTAATTACACGAGTGCCCTATAGTTTACAAATCTACATAGGTAACCCCGAAGTTACCGATTGTATTTGAAAGTCGCTTGTCATTTGGGCTCCAGAGTTACCTTGTAATTACAATTTATAATCTTAAGATCACTGGTGTAGATACACAGACTCCAGAATTATCCGTGCAATTACATCATACGTCATAGTAACTGGTTGTGATTAATCCTAACTCCTAATTACAAAAATGCGGTTTATAGGGACTCGGGGCACAAGTAGACAGACAAAAGTCACCATTAAACAATTAATTAAATTAATTAATTAATTAAAAATATTATCAGAATCTGCTTGAGGGAGAGGGGTTGGTTACTGCCTGCGGTTTGGTTCGAAGAGGTTTGATGTCCGTCTGGGCCGGGCCTGTCCGTTGGGCCGGGGCAACACGTGGGCCCCACTCCTCTGTCTGCTGGGAAGGTGACACGCGCGGGCCCCGCTCGCTTATATATCTCGAGTCACACGTTTCTCCCGCTACCCACCCTCGCCTCCCCTCGAATTCTTATTCTCACCGAGGGTAACAATTCCTCGATGCTCACCGCCGGCTCTAGCTAATAAAGCCGAACCGTTCGGGTTTTTCTCTAGGTATGATATACCTGCGGAGCAATTGTGATTCCTATCGTGCGCTAGCCCTAGGATCTTAGCATAGGCGCATAGCTGTCTATTTGCGTAGGATGACCCCAATGCTACCCCATCCCTCTTGGGTAGTACATAAATTCAAGCTCATGGCCTAAGGTTATGGTTGCCTATGTTTGTCATGAAGGGCAGAGTTAATTTCTGTGGGGTTTGGTAAAGGTTGCGGGTTTTAAATAAGCATTTGTTTGTGAAGGGAGTGGGTTAATTTAAAGTAAGGCCAATTTTTTAAAATCTAATAAGAGTAATGATGGATAGACTGTAAAACCTCAAACTACTTTTATCGTGTCCGAAAGAAAAGTGTGGCGGCTCATCAATTTTGATAGTCCTTAAAAAGAAAATCCTCTACGGTTTAGTTTCCCGCCGGTTAAAAGTAGTATAAGTTTAGGACGGGTGTGTTTGGTTGCACAATTTTATAAAAAAGTTTTCTCAAAATATTTGACAATGAGAATTCTGTAATTAAAAAGTTTTCGTAGATTTCCGTAAACTATGTTTGATTAAAAAAAATTTATAGAAATATTTTCTTTAAAGTACAAAAAGTATCAAAATTTATAGAAATCAATTTACTCTCAAAATGGGCAGAAATCACCCAGAAATCTGACACCACATTAACACTTTTCTATAAAGTTGACACTTTTCTATAAATTCAGCGGGTGTTTGGTTTAATTTCTACAAATTATAGGAAATCTTGCTATTATCTATAAAGTTATGGATCATTTTCTTGTTTTGAACCGAACAAGTAAAGTAAAAAAATAAAAAATTGATACCTTTTGACTTCTCACAACTTTTCCTATAGTTTTTTTTAAATACAAGGAAATCATATTTTGGATGGAAAACATTTCCTATAATCTGTAGAAATTGAACCAAACACCCCATTGTAGCCTAGTAAACATTTCTTATTCTAAATATGTACTTTTACAAGAAGGGCTGTTTTTTTTAGAATTTAGGATTTTTGACGCAACCAAACAATTAGTCATCCACATCATCATTCTCCGTTTTGAATTTTTTTCCTTTTTGCCCATTGTTTTATGATAATTTTTTACTTTCCACTAAAGTTCTCTCATTCTAAAAGTTTTTAATAATTTTGAGGAGTTACAAGTGATACCAACATGTTTTCATAGTTTTTTAACATGCAAACTAAACAAAGAAAAATTAGAAAAGGTAAACACGGACTCCTATTTTGGCAACTCTAAATCTTCCCTTCAATACACATACAGCCAAACAACCGTTTAGTGATACGCAAGTTTAACATTTAATAAAGATAGTGATGGCATAAATATAATGTGAATTATATATCTTTTAGATTTATCAAAATATAACCAATAAATTAAATTAAACTATTTAGAAATTGACAAAAGGAGAAATTGAATAGATCTTCTTAACAAAGAATGAGTCAAATAAAATATTTTAAGCATATTTTTTCAGCCAAGAAAATATCTTATGATTTGTTACTACATTCACAAAAATCTTGTACCTTTTCTCAAGAAACAAAAATATGTTTAATCGATACATAAAATCATCTTCACCATAAAATCATTGATAAATAGCATATTTCCCTCCCTTGATCTCCTCAAATATTCAAATAACATCCAAATTAGCCAACAAAATACGGCACATGATAAAAAAGAAAATTTTACCTACCACAAATGAATACAACCGTGCTCCAAAATCTCCGGTCCAATTAAAAGCCGTGCTATAAAAAGCCGACCGCTCCCGGTTCTTGTTGAGCCGACGTCTTCCGAACAAAAAAAAAAAAAAACACAAAACAAACCCCCCTCTCTCTCTCTCCCAGCACAAAAAAGATACAAGAGATAGAGGAGATACAGAGAGGAGAGAAGAAAGAAAGATATATCTAGGGTTTGGCTGCTCCGATCTCAATTTTGGGCCCAAATTAAGGTTTTTCTCTGTTGATTTCACCCTCAAGTCTTAGATCGAGCGTTGGATGATCTTGCCATGACGTCATCTGAAGTCTCCGTGAAGGGAAATGGAAGCAGTACGTATTCCTCGGTCTCGAGCGACCGACGCTCCGCCGGAAAAGGTTAGGGTTCTTCGCTGGTGTTTGAGTAGGCGGTGATTTGACTCCGTTTTTGTGTGGAATTTTTGATGACCGGTGCTTTTGTTTCGCCGTTTTCAGATGCGGAGGATGAGCTTTATAATGAGCTTTGGCATGCGTGCGCTGGGCCTCTGGTGACCGTTCCGAGAGTTGGAGAGCTTGTGTATTACTTTCCTCAAGGTCACATAGAGCAGGTAACGGATCTCTCTTTTTAGTCCCAGGAAATGAAAATTTTAGGGGTTTTGCTGGATTTTGAGGGAATTTCTTGTAATTTCTTATATCTGTTTGTTTTCTTATTTTTTATTTGGGGAATTTGTTAGATTAAGGGCTCTGTTGTGCTTGAATTAGTTGATAGTCGATGGAAGTTCTTTAACCCGGAATTATAGATCCAGTTATGTGACTTCTTGCTGAAGTTTGAAAATTTAAGGTTGGTAGATGTTGATTTTATTTATTCAAATAAGATTCGTTATTTTTAGTCAAAATTTCGCGCGAAAGGTAATTCTTTTTCTCGGGAATTTTTGTGATTTTGAGGTTTCTGCTGCCTGATGTGTTTCTTCTCTCTCGAAATTTGTTGTGTAGTCCCAAAATTAAGGAGGTACTTTTCTATGATTATCCTTTTTGTTGTTGTTGAGACCTTCCAATTTAGAGTTGCTAGTATTTTTCGTTCTGCTTTCTTTTTATTTGCTGTGGGTTTGCTTCTACTTTTTAAGTTTATTTTTGACCATTTCACCCCATTTTTATCATTATATTTCTGAATTCTGTAATTATTTGTCGAAGTTTTGATAATCCAGTGTTTTTAATTAATTTCTTCGAGCAAACTCTTGATTTTCTCGTCATGTAGGTTATAGTATTCTTTCAATAACCCAGTAGCATTTGTTTCTGCTGGAAAAACCCCAAGATTCGTAACTTGTCTGCTTTTGGTCACGATTGAGACTTTCCCCATTTTATGCCCTTTTAATAATGTTTATCATTCACTCATTGGAATAATCAAGGTTGAAGCGTCCACAAATCAGGTGGCTGACCATCAGATGCCAGTTTATGACCTTCCATCCAAAATCCTTTGCCGTGTAATGAACGTCCATCTGAAGGTACAAATATCCTTTCTTTCAAAAGGAACCATTAATGATGAAAAAAATTTAGCCTAAACAGAGGATTGGTTTATAACATAACGTATCATGATGTCTAGGCTGAATCTGACACTGATGAAGTTTTTGCACAAGTTACTCTTCTTCCTGAGCCAAATGTAAGTGGTTTTTCTGTACGAACTTTGCTTTTATTACAAATGTGGAAAGGTTTCTTAGCTTACTAATTCATGGTATTATCGGTTCCTTTAGCAAGATGAGAATGCCGTGGAGAAGGAGCCTTTGCCTCCATCACTACCAAGACCTCATGTTCATTCCTTTTGCAAGACATTGACAGCTTCTGACACAAGCACCCATGGTGGATTCTCAGTGTTGAGACGTCATGCTGATGAGTGTCTTCCGCCATTGGTTAGTGTTGTTAGACTATTTTGTTCAGTTTTACATTGTTCTGTTTCTTTCTTTCTTTTCTTTTTTTGTATATTATATTTTCTTAGTGGGGAAACATGTATGTTGTGAATATCTGTTTATGTTTTGTTTTTTGAACCAGGACATGGCTAAAAACCCTCCGACACAGGAATTGGTTGCGAAGGATTTGCATGGGGTTGAGTGGCGATTCCGTCACATTTTTCGTGGTAGTTATTGCTAACAACTTAGCTATGTTATTGAGAAGTTCAATTCAATAAAAATGCACACCAGTAACTTCAGATTTTATTTGCAATATATAAAGGTTCCTTCTTTCTTTTGCTCAAAGGTGCTTCTACACGAACATGCTGTAACACCTTTAAATAGGCTCACTGACTGATTAATGAGTTTTGCCACATTTTTTGAGCATTTAATTCTTTTGAGTTGCGTGCCATAGCTTTCCCATGTTATGGGAAAAAGTCGCTGATACTAATGATAGTGAAAAGTCATTTCATTGTAGTCGCTAGGCACACCCCCGTGAATTGATAGCTAATAATATAGCTTGTTAGAAACATCGCTGCTTGAGTGGGTCTGTTTATGAATTATTTCTGTGCGGAGGTTGCTTGTGTTTGTTGTTTGAGTAGCTGTTCAATGGTGGTTCTTTGATAAAATTAATTGTGATGTTTCTGCCATGTATTTGTTTGTACTTAAATTCTGCTCATGTTACTTACGTGTGCATAAACTTCAATTTTTGTCCTTCAATCATGAATCCCTTAGGTCAGCCAAGGAGGCATCTTCTTCAAAGTGGTTGGAGTGTATTTGTTAGTTCTAAAAGGCTTGTTGCTGGGGATGCTTTTATTTTTCTAAGGTATGTTTCCCTTTCTCACTATCTGCTTAATATTCTATGGGTTAGTACTTAATGGAGTCTACTACACAGGGGAGAAAATGGCGATCTACGTGTTGGAGTAAGACGTGCGATGAGGCAACAGACAAATGTTCCATCTTCTGTCATTTCGAGCCACAGTATGCATTTGGGTGTCCTTGCAACGGCATGGCATGCTGTTACTACGGGAACATTGTTCACAGTTTATTACAAGCCAAGGTGTGTGGTTGGTGTTCTTTAAGGTTTCATGCAATGTACAGGGATATATGTAGTAGTATATATTTAATACTTTTATTTAGTCTTCATTCTTGCAAGGTTTGGATGTATCTTTGTTAGCATATGGTTTTTGTAAAATTTTGTGGATTTAGATTCATAATTTTGTTAAAATTTTAATTTCCGAGTATAGAACTAGTGCCACGAATCATTTTCCTCAAGAAATTTGTACTTCAATAAAAACATTATCTGCATTGGCTCATTTTTTCTTGTTTCCATATTTGCATATGATTTCCTTATAAATATAAATTGGTATGGCAGGACGAGTCCTTCTGATTTCATTGTTCCTTATGAGCAATATATGGAGTCTCTCAAAAGCAACCACTCAATTGGCATGAGATTCAAAATGAGGTTTGAAGGTGAAGAGTCTCCTGAGCAGAGGTATAAGACCATGACACCATAATTTTATGAGCCTAAATCATTTTTTTAAAAAAGGAACAACTTACGATTTAGCAGTTTATGTTTCTTATCTCTGCATTTTGTCTTTCCCAAGGTTCAGTGGCACCATAGTGGGCATAGGAGATGTTGATTCCAGCAGGTGGCCGGGGTCTAAATGGAGATGCCTCAAGGTAATATTGAAAACATCTCTGCTTTTGTTCTTGTCATGCTCGTGCTTCATTATGTGAGTTTTCTGATTTCCTGCTTTTAGGTCCGATGGGATGAAACATCTTCCATTCCTCGACCTGAAAGAGTTTCTCCATGGAAGATAGAGCCTGCTTTGGCTCCCCCGGTAAATCCCCTTCCAGTACCAAGACCCAAAAGACCTCGAACTAACACGATACCATCGCCTGATTCGTCTGTTTTTACGCGAGAAGGTATACCTTATCCCCACTTAGTTATTGGTTATCCTATTAGATTCGTTGATCAAATAGACTCAGATTTTTTTGTGGTGCGTTTAGGCTCATTGAAAGTTACTGCAGACTCTTCCCAATCACATGCAATGCCAAAAATCTTGTCAGGTCAAGGTATCACCTTGAGAAGCAACTATGCGGATACAAATGAAGCTGAAGTCTCTCCTAAGCCCATGATGTGGCCTTCATCATGCAATGAACAAAGAAATGACGCCTGTCCGTCAAGAAGGTTGAGTTCCGAGAACTGGATACAAGTGGGCAGACCTGAATCTACCTACACTGACATGCTCTCAGGGTTTCAAAAGTCCAGTGAATCTCCCAGGTTTGCTTCAGCACATTTTGATCACAAATCAGGTGATAAGAAGTCTATAAAGAACCAATTTCCAGATCAGGAAAGTGAGCTCAGCTTGCTTTCAGGTCAGTGGTCCTTAATGTCTTCTAACCCTGCCTTCAATCTGGAGTCTAATCTAAAGATGCCGACACAAGCTGTTAGATATGGAATGGGAGGCTATTCCTCGTTGCAGGGTCTAGCAGTTGAGGAAAATCATCCATATCGGTTCACACATCTTTCTACAGATATGCGAATGGAGAATATGTCACCTTCAGACTTGTTGAGACCTCAGTCTGTGGTAGCTTCACCCAACAATGTATCAGCAGCAGGAGGCGGCACCTGGAAGATTTTTGGGTTTAATATTAATAGCAATCCTCCAATACCTGACCCAGTAACTACACAGTCACATTCCATCTACGAGCTGGAGGCATGTAGTCAGCAAACAGGAATATTGCATCGTTCATCAGAAGTCATAGAGGCTGTTCAACCCTTTGAACCATCCAAAAGTACCAAGTCAGTTGACTCTGCTTCAACAACTAATGAACAGGAGAAGGGTCTTCAGCCAAGCCCACAGATTGCTAAAGATATCTCGACCAAGTCCTTGGGCAGTTCAACAAGAAGCTGCACGAAGGTATGTTTTAAGCTGCTTGATGAGATTTTTGTGCACAAAGATATGCTTTTAAGTTGCTTTTTGATGGGAAGTTCTTTTATTATGATGATAACCAAGATGGGTCTCGATTTGAGTAGACTTTCGTAAATGTTTAGTATGAATTTACAATTCCCCTAAAATATCAGAAAGTTAAGAACTGTAAATTGTAGGTTCTTATCATATGTAATCTTCAAGGGGATATGAAACATTTGGTTTTCCACAATAGATGTGTGAGTAATAACCGACTGAAACATGCGAGTACTGGCATGTTAGATGTTTCATGATTTTAGAATGATATACTGAATGGAATGTCTACTTTAATGGCCTATCAATATCATTCTCCTTAAGAGTGTATTTTCATGCTGTAGGCAACAAAGCACACTAGAGACATTACTTGCTTACTATTATATCGATAAAGCTTGAATTTACAATTTTCTTCAATTTCTTTGCATGGAAACATGATTCTTCTTCTTCTTTTTTTGCTCTCATACATGGAAGTGTTTATGTTGCATTGATATTGGCATATTTATTGCTACATCTCGTCAAATGCTTGGGTAACACCAGAAGTCTCATAATGCCAGCAACATTTTCAGAAATAACAATTTTCTTCGACATCTTCATCCAGTAATATCTGAACTTGTTACTGGCTGTGCATTTTCAGGTACACAAGCAGGGAATTGCTCTTGGGAGATCTGTGGACCTTTCGAGATTCAACAACTATGATGAACTGATTGCGGAGTTGGATCGAATGTTTGAGTTTGAGGGTGAATTGATGTCTCCTAGCAAAAATTGGATGGTTGTGTACACGGACAGTGAGGATGACATGATGCTTGTCGGAGACGATCCATGGCAGTAAGTATTCTCCCTCTTTATATTTCAAGAGTGTGGAAATCAAATCCCATGATCTGACTTAAATCCTCTTTAACAGAGAATTCTGTAGCATGGTTCGGAAGATCAATATCTACACAAAAGAGGAGGTTCAAAAGATGAATCCAGGATCGCTGAGCCCAAGAAACAAAGAGACGTCAAGCGTCACAGACGAAAAAACAACTGAGAAAGAAATGAAAAGCCCCTTGTTCCCAACTCCAGCTGCTAATTCTGAGAAAAGCTAGTAACGTAAGTAATCAACTGAACACGATATAGAAGATTTTTGGAATCAAAGTCCTTAAGGTGCAGTAAGAGTGCACTCTTATAAATTGGATTTGCTTTATTTCTATATAAGAATAAGGAACAAACAACTGATGAATTTTCTTCTTTTGTTCTGTGTGCAGGTTTCTGAGGGTTGAAGGACAAGAGTATATATAAATTGAAGGCTGCTTTTTGTGCGGCAAGGTGCAGGTGAGCTCCATCAACCTGCCTTTGCGGTTTGACCTTTAGCATAGGTTGAGATGAATGATTGAGATGCCATCATCGTAAAAACAGTTTTTGACGTAAACTGGATTTGGCAATGTCAGTAGTAGATTAGTGGATGTGTAAATGCTTCGCCAGCCTATATTTTCCACTATTAGGGTAAGATCTATCTTATCCTACCTCATCAATCATGTAAATATCATCTCTGCTCAATATAATGGATATGTAGCCTGTGGCTCTTGTGATTGCGACGTTTCTACCCCGTTGTTACTTGCTTTTGTTCCAGATACTCATCGACGATCGATTTTTTTTTTTGGAAAGATCCCTCTGAAAGAGAAATATACGTAATGATAGTAAAAGGACCTGTTAATTTTGTAGGAGAGTGGGTCTTGGACTGGGATTCCTTGCTTGACCGAAGGTGGAATCTTCCAACTCAAGGCTCTAATGAAATGGTTTCCTTTTTCAAGAGACGGAGAGTAGCGGGCAGCTACGAGAGCAACAGGGACCTTGTTTAGAAAATATCGTTCCCTATATATACTATTACGTTAAAAGGGTTCCTGCCTAGGTTTTTATGGATCCGAGGTTGGCAATCCTTTTTGAGGTTCTTTGTACAGCGAATGCGACCTGTACGCTGGCTTTGGGATCAAGGATTATTTTATAGAATGGGCTTGACGTTCTCTAAAGAAGACGACATAGAAGATGGTTAGTGCGCGCGGTCTGTCTGGGTTTTTATTAGATGGAATTAAAAAGGTTGGTATTAGCGTCTTGTTGGCACTGTGTGGATCTTTTTTTATAGTGGAAGTTTGCCGTGTAAGGTTTTTGTTCCGAGTCCCTTGAAGCTTTGGTCATGAGGGACTTGGGATCGTGATAGAAAAAGAGGACTGGGACGTTCTCCTGAAAGAGAAATTCTAAAAAGGAGGGCTCTTTAGTGCCATGGATTTTAGACCTGTAGTCTCAAGTCTACATACCTTCTTTTCCCCTTTAAAGCTACGGCATGTACTTCTAGGGAAAGGAGCGGTCATTATGGATGATGCCATCGACGGTTATTAATTGGACGAAGTTAAATGTAGTAAATTAATGCAATGGTGACTCCTAAAATGCTGCCTTTGTTAAGTGAGCTTTGTTACATGGCTCCAAAATATGAGACTAGCATGGGGGACATATGAGGTGTTCTTCTAGGTCACCTGATTATGCAATAGGAGGGGGACATTTTATCCGTCTCCCTATTGGTCCTAGGAGAATTTTTCTTGTTAATTTGTATTTTGACATCTGAGATACGAACGATGTTTTGAGTTAATCTATCCTCCAAATCTTTTGCATTTTGGAAAAAATAAAAATAAATAAATAAATAAAAACCTTATGGACGTTTCTCTTGATCAATGCGTTCGCTGAAGAATATATTGAGGCTAACTAATCTCTCGCTCTTCATCATTGCGGGAGAATCAAATTATTACACCTTCTAGTTGCGACCAATGTTTCTTCGTGTATCGAATTGTGATATGGATAGGGTTTCATCTAGGTCACCTCAATAATGAATCCGCCGCACCCTTGTGCAGTGCGAGTGCGACCGCATCGTTACTGTGCAGGTGCGTGTTTAGCTTAAAAGCTAAACGCTAAAGATCATTACTTCTATTGAAACCATGGATTGTTTAATGAAAATTTTTGGAGATTGATCTTAAATATAACACTTAGAATATTTCCATGAATCGTACTAGTTTCTACTATATATCTAAGAAAATAAATTGCAGTCGTAAATTAAACAATTTATCGTTAGACTTAAAAGTAATAGTTTCTCCACTGTTTTTCTGGAGCGGAGAGAATACAATATCCATTGCTAATCAGAAGACGAGCTTGATATTAGTCCTACAGCTATATTTCTGTGGAACCTAGATTTGAGTCCAATTTCTTACGTCCATTACGTAAAGAGCTTGGTAGGCTCCTCAAGTCATTCACGATCTCTACGCATTTCATAGCTCCACCGGCAATTCCCTCTGCCCCTCTATATATTATATATATATATATAATAATATATATATATATAATATATATAATATATATATATAATATATATGATTTATACTTGCGTAGTTTCCATCCTCCATTATCCCGAGTCCGTGGGAATCTGACGACAAACTTGAAAAGCCATCTATAGATTCCTTGCATCCAATCCAAATAATACATGTATCCTCTATCTTATTAACAGGGGCTAAAATTTTATCTCAGGGGTGTCCCGATATAACTTATAATAGTTGCATTTCAAATTTATCTGTCTTAATCTCGACGGTATTCCAAGCAACATGTGTAAAATAAAAGTAAATAAAATTATCTCCAAAATAGAAAAATCAAATGGCGTCTCGTGACACCGCTAGGCTCTATGCAGCTCTGCACTGCTCTATCCTATGGTAGTTACTTGAATTGAGTTAGCAGATGCTTATTTATCGAACACAGCTATAAAGAGCTCCACCCTTCTTCATAGAATCATATATACACGACACTAGTACAAAATTGATCTGTCCAAACGGTTGTAACCGTTTGGACAAATGCAGTCCCAAACGGTTACAACCGTTTGGCCGAGTAAAAAACCCGTTTGGGCTGAAGCCGTTGGGGAAGAGTTTTCCCCAACGGTCTCCCAAACGGTTGAAACCGTTTGGGCTAAATCCCAAACGGTTGTAACCGTTTGGGATTTTGCCCAAACGGTTACAACCGTTTGGGTTGTCAAAAATACCCAAATGGGTGAAACCGTTTGGATAGAGTTTGGTCCAAACGGTTTCACCCGTTTGGACTGTTTATTTTTATTATTTTTTAATTTTAGCTATTTTAAATATCTACCTGCTTACATTTAATATGCACATCTCACACAATAATTTCTCAATATATCACATTGAAATCGAAAATATATACATACACAAAAATATCTCAAACAGTGCTAAATATCAAATATTATATATACATACACAATGAAAAACATCCAATATTATATATATGTTTCTAATATCCAAAATGACTCGTACATCCAAAATATAATATAGGAGTGGCTTGATCCATCCAGTCAAGGAACATTTTCAACACTTGAACTTTCACCCTCCACCTTCAAATCAACTTGGACCTCAGGAGATGCACTTGCATCACCTTCAGCCTGCACATTCGACGCAATCTCGGGTTAGGAAGAAGCAGAAGCCTCTACAGTTGGAGAACTTTGAGACTCAGAAATAACTGCAGCCTCTACATACTTGCAAGCTTGAACTTGCAGATAAAGTAACTGAGTGGAGGTCTAGAGTACTCTGTACTCTGAAGCTTGAGGCGCTTTTTTGTCGACTTGGAGAAGAATTGCTGATGCTGCAGCGATTGATATTAAAGCTAAACCAGCAGCGATGACTGCAGTGTTCTCTGCTCCTGATGATGATGTGCCTGTTGATGCAGAACTTATTATCAATCAGCTACCTCTTCGTCCTCTATTAATGTCTTCAAAATAACATCAATCTTACAAGTGAAAATTTCACAAGCAATGAAAGGGAACCTGGTTCACAAAATAACTTTAGTGAAAAAGAAAAAACAGAAACAAAACTGCACTGAAATCCAAGAATACAACAGCCACAATTTAAAATAGTAATAAAGCATACTTGAAGGCTCGCTTGCTTTCAGCATCTGCAGGAGCATCTTCCATAATATATTGCACCAATTGTTCTACTTGAGCTCTGTCTCTAAGGCTGGATACATAAAGTATCAAGTTAGTCCATTTTCTTAATATAATATTACTTTTTATGAATAAAGTTACATAAAAATTTGTTTGCCAATTTGCAAGCTGATTTCCTTTCGCCCTCAAAACCAGACATCATTCAGCATCGGTTGCACAGGCCAGTACCTTGGATGGAGTTACGTATTCTATTTAGTAGAACATACTAATAATTATATACATATGCTTTCTGCCTGTATTTTCTAGTGAACTGAACTACGAAGAAAAGCATACGCGTAAGAAACAAAATATTTTGAAACTAGATTAAGTTCTCAGGTTGAAGAAGCAGAAAGAAAGGATCAGTAATGACTGAAACCAAAAAGCCAATCAGCATAGGAATTAGTGAAATACCACTGTCAGCCAACCAACAGAATGGATCAATCAAGCCATTTATTTTCTGTTTATCTGTTTATATTTAAAATCAAATCTAGTTCTACTACACCCAACCCAGAATGAACAAGTGATAATTTCAACTCTTCTCTGCTCAATAAGTGAATTGCCAATTACAGAAAATATTTTAAGAGAAATAGAAAAAATATATTACAAATTTATAAGGCGGGTGTTTAAAGCTTTGCATACTTGAATTATATCTTCTTCATCCAGAAGTTTTTCCAGCGTGAAGTTTTCCTTGTCCAATATGGACTTAATCTGGAAAAAAATGCAGTATCAGTCATGAATAACATAATATGTGAATGATGATTAAAGATATATTTAAGAAAAAAGAATTACCAAGACATGATAAAAGTCAGATCCCAAAACAGTGACATGCTTGTTAACAGAATATTCAAGTTTTGATGGTTTAAGAGACCAGTCTAGTTCAACTTAAAATGAAATACTAAGACTTAAAAAACTAATATGAGAACAAGCCTAATGTAATGCACTATGCATGAAACAAAAAAAAGGCCTACTAGCAGTCGAATCTAGTTTTAGCTAAAGATGGTGACATATAATCGACATTTCTCGCTACAAATCATTGGTCTTCCTTCAATACTAAAGTTCAGAAAAGGATTCATCAAATAAGCCACATCCGGAACTAACCCAAAATAAAAGGTAATGTCAAACTAATGACTCAGTGTTTACCAACCTCTTTAGGGTAATGAATACACCTATGTTGTTGACAGAAAGCTATACTCAGTGAATAGCTCTATATTTGGTTCATAAAAATTAATTATGCATATTATATAGCTCGCTGCTCATCAATTTAATACCTTTCATCAGTCCTCTTTCCAGACTACTAAAATTGGACTCACCAAAAAACTTATCGATTGAGTAATTTATATAAAATTTAGTCCACACAGATCTATGGTCATCGGTGTCATGGCCTCCGAGCAATTTTATTGAAGCCCCAATAAACAACTGACTAAATAACTACTACCCAAAGTCAATATCTAGTCAGTTGGGATTGAGGAAGAAGAAGAGCGAAAGCAGCCAGAAAAGGGGTCTCAAGAGAGCGAGAGAAACCCTAGATTTTGGGAGAGGGGGGCATTTTTTTTTTTTGGTTTGAAAGAGGTGGAGGCGGATTTGAGAGGGTGTGGTGAGATGTTAATTTGGGGATGAAAATTTGGCGCTGGCCGCTGGGTGAAAATTTTGGGCGCCACTCGTGAAAAGTTTGGGGAGAACAAGCGGGTCAGAAAATATTAATTTCAAAATTATTTTTAAAAAACCCTAACCTAGCGCCCAAACGGTTGAGCCCGTTTGGGCTAAAATATCCCAAACTGTTTAAACCGTTTGGGAGCTCTGTTTGGAACTTTTCAATCATCCAAACGGTTTTAACCGTTTGGGATATATTAGCCCAAACGGTGTTAACCGTTTGGGCTATTTTGACTTGTCCAAACGGTTTTTGGAACCGTTTGGACAGATCCATTTTGTACTAGTGACGCATGCACGTGTGAAAATTACCCAGGGTTTCCAACTTGAAAGCGAGGAGAGGACTTGCATGCATTTTCATTAGTTACGTGGACGCATGGGTTGCATCCTTCGTGTCAATATTAATGAATATCTAGATACGTGTATCTATTAAACTAATTTATTAGCACTTGCATTTCTTAAACTCATATGTTTTTTTTTCCTTCCTTCA